GATCTGTGAACTGAAAGCCAGTTATCAACACAAAAGTCTTCTCGGTTGGGTATTATGCTAAAATCAGTGACAATTTCTGGACTATGCAGTCAACATATGTAGTAAAACCACTTTCTGCAGTCACCAACTTCTTTCTCTCCTTCCTTGGTGTAAAGTAAGATCCTCTGTCCCTTGCACCTGGGTGTGGCCAGATGGCTGATCCTTAACATCAAATGTAAATAGAGACTTTTAATAGACAAGCATGCCCTGGAGTAATTTCCTATGGCTGCCATAACAAATTACCATGACTTGGTGGCTTAAACCAACAGAAATGTGTTCTCTCACAGCTGTGGAGACCAACAATCCAAAGCCAAGGCAGGACCATGCTCCGTCTGGGGGCTTCTAGGGGAAAACTTTTTCTTTTTTCCTCAAGCTCTTGGTGGCTCCTGGTATTCTTTGGATTGTGACAGCACCTCCTAGCTCTGTCTTGGTCTTCCATGGACTTCTCTGTGTATCCTTTCCTATCTCTTATAAGGACACTCTCCTTGGTTTTAGGGCCCATCCTAATTCAATGTAATCTCATCCTAATCCTTACTATATTCACAGCTGCAAAGACCCCATTTCCAAATAAGGTCACGTTTTAGAATGTTTCTTTAGACATGAAGGGTGACACTACAACCCTTTCATAATAAAAATTCCCTGTCTACACTGCGAAGAAGGTGCCGTCAGAAGTTCTTGCTCCAGAGCTATGGAGGAATCCTGCTGCAGAGGGGTTTGTGAAGACCTCCTACCCTGGTAGTGGAGAAAGTTCTTGTGTTAGACCCTGGATACTGCCTGGAAGGAATTCTCTTGTCCATGTTCTCTGAACCCCTAAAACCTACAGGAAAGAATTACTTAACGGTTATCTGACATGGCCACATCTTCAGTGATTCCTGGGGCTGGTCTCATTTGGTACTACACAGCTTTTACAGTCCTACTGAATTCTGTGCAAGTCTGGGAGACTCCAAAGTTCCAGCAGTGAAAGTCTTTATTTGGCCAAGTTTATGGATTTTTGTAATGCAATTTCTTCAAAAAATAGTATCTGGCTCTCTTTGCTTCTAATCTTTTCCTTATACCTGTAACCACACCTAAAGTTCTTTTCTAGACATAGTTGTCAAACCTGCTCATCTGCAAAGGTCCTTGTCAAGTTTCTAGTAGCTATCATGGGGACATATGGAACAGTCAGCAACACCTGTAATATGATGCTTGTCATAGACTAAGTCTCTTTGTAAGAAAATTTTCAATTTATGAATTTATTTATTTTAGTGCTGGGATTGACCCCAGGGCCTTATGCAGGCTATGCACATACTCAACCATAGCTCTGTGAGTCGTTATTGCTCAGAGCCTTTTCCAGTCTTATTTCCTGTAACTTAGGATCTAGGAGTGGTTAGTTTTCCTATATCCAAAAGGACCTAAATGTCTAGATTCCCCATATTTTCTTTCCTTTCTTCTTGGAAAGTTGTGAATTACTGTCTGAATGCATCTCTTAATGGCACTATCTTGCTACAGACACTGACGAGGAACTCACATGTACTAATATTTCTGCTTCTTTCCCCACTTTTTCCCATATAGCTGCAGGCTTCTTTGTACTTGGCTTGATCTGCCTTCCATGTTATTCCAGCAAAAATTTTACTAAATGTTTTATCTCTGCGTACCACAGGACTCCATCTGTCTAGCCAGATCTATCTCTCTCCTTGCTGCCAGCAAAGGAACTAAATAATCTGGCCATTGTCTGTCTACCTCTCTGTCCCATCTCCTTCTACCCCAGTGCCCAGCCTCGCTGTCTCCCACCTGTTCCGGGCCAAGACAGGCCTTTACGTGTGCTGCCCCTCTGCCAAGAGCTCTCTTCCCCCACAAATCTTTGCATGTCTGCCTCCCTCACACATAATTCAAGTCACATTTGCCTGTCAGTGGGCCTTCCTGACCATCCCATCCCAAGTTTGTTTTGCATAGCATTTACTATCATGTGATATTATCTTCTTTACGTGTTTACAGCCCTGATGGCCTGTTTGCCACCATAGCTTTGATTTTACAAACTGTGCTTGTCACACAATCATTATGACAACTGGTGCTAATACTTATGTAATATTCACTGTGTACCAGACATGGGTTTCAGATCTTTATTGAAAACTTTTTTTAAATGAAAACTTTCAAAGATCCACAAAAGTAGAGAAAATAATGTGATAACTCCCCCTAAAACACCCATCACCCAGATTCAACATTAAGGTTTTGCCATACTTCTTTCATCTTTCTTGTCTTCCTTCTCTGTCATTCATTTCTTTGTTTCTCTTGAAGTCTTTAAATGTCATACATCATGTCATTTTACCTCTACACATTTTAATATGTTCATTTTTAAGAGAATTTTTCTTATATAATCACATTTAGTGTAATACTCAGTCCATCTTCAGATTTTCCTGACTGCCTTAAAAATAAAGCAAGTTGATCTGTTTGAATTAGGAGACAAACCAGGCGCACACACAGCAGTAGTTTGTAATTTCTCTTGTCTTGTTTCCTTTGTGCTGAGCAGGTATGAGATGATAATGACCTGAAGTGGGGCTGAGTGGTGACAACATGACGTGGAGAGACCGTGGCGTTCAGTCATCTGGTTGACCCAGCTTTAGGTCAGCAGAGTGGGGACCATTGGCTTCTATGGGTCACATGCTTGCTTGAGATCAACAGTGGCCTTGTTCCCTGTTACGGGGTTCTTGATGTGACAGCTGAAAGCAACCTCATACACCACTTAATTTTTTCTCTTGTTTTATTCCTTTGCCTAGCCTCTCTCAGTTGGCCAGATGTCTTTTTGTTACCTCCTCTGGAGCTTGTTAGGAGAGGGTCAGTTCCCATTCATGGTTCCCAGACCAACTGTGCACCAAAACTCATGGAATTTTGTTCTGCTGTTTAAAAAATATACTAAAACGGGCCAAGATGTGGCTCAGTGGTAGAGCACTTGCTTAGCATGCACAAGGCCTTGGGTTCCACCATCCCCACTGTGGCAATAAATAAAAATATACTAAAGCAGTTGGCTCCATGTCCAAACCTTCTGCATCAGAATCTACAGGCACGATGCCTGGAAATCTGTTCTAAACTACTTCCTAGGTGACCCTGATGTAACCAGGTACAGACCTGCCTCAGAAATCTTGTGGAATCTGTGATGGTGACAGTTCCTAAGATGAAATTTGTAAAGCTATTTTTGCCAACAGAATAACAATTCTTCTGGACTCAGTCATCTCTCAACTTTTTTTGTTTGTACACTTTTCATTATGTATCCTAACATTTCTTTATCTGTGCATTATATACATGCACTACTATACCAGACAAGGTATAAAATACACTAAAATAAAAATCTTTCAAGATTTAAGAAGTAAATAAAAATAGCAGTTCCAGTATTTACTCCTTGTACCCAAGTGGTTTCTCTTGGATTACCATCTATGAACTGTAGCTTTGGGATATTTTCAGCCACTTTTACTTTGCCCCAAAAGCCTAGTTTGAAGAACTTCCAGAATCTCCTTTCTCTTATAACACTCTTTATCAAACTTTGCTTAGAAAGGGGTTTGTCTGGTTCACTAGGGTTCAGATTTTCCTCCCCCGTGTACCCAGGAACCTACCTAAATTAGTTTCCAAGCAGGCAAATGAGTAATTTTAGCAACCAAAGGTCTTGGGCCCAAGACCAAGTTCCTGTGGCCTTCTTGGATCTCTGGGGTCTCAGGACACGGAAATTTCCTAATGGATGTTATTAGGGCTGCCAAGGAGGAAAGGCGGTCAAGGGCTGGAAGGAGCCAAAGCCAACACCAGGTTAAAAAGGCTAGAACTTGCCACCTAAGGCATTCCAGGACTCTTCATTCCTTCCTGTACATCTGAGTTTCCATCTGGTATTATTTTCCTTTAGCCAGAAATGTTTCATTTAGTATTTCTTGTAGTGGAGGTTTATTGGTAATACATTCAGCTTTTATTTATCTGACAAGGTCTTTATTTCGCTCTCAATTGTGAAGGGTGTTTTTCTGGATATGGAACTCTAGCTCTAGCCTAACACATTTTTTGTTTGTTTTGCTTTGTCTAAAGCTTTAAAGAGGCCCTCCATTACCTCCCGAGTTCCCCTGTTTCTGACAAGAGCTTAGCCACTCTTCATATCAGTGTTCTCTTGTGTGTAATATGTCTCTCTGGCAGATTTCACAGCTTTTAGAAGTCTGATTATGAAGTGCTGAGGTGTGAACTTACTTTTCTCAGAGTTTACTGAGCTTGCTGGATCTCTAAATTGTTAAGATGCTGCACCCTATTTTGGAAGTTTTGACCATTTTGTCTTCCTGCGGGTTTTTTTTTTTTTTTCTGCCCCATTCTCTCTCCTTTCCTTGGAGATTCTCAGCTATATTTTTGCATAGATTACTGAAGCTCTGTTCATTTTGCTTCACTATTTTCTCTCTCTTCTTGTTCAGAGTGGATAATTTCTATGGCTCTGTCTTCAAGTTTGTGGACTCTTACTTTTACCATCTCTCATCTGCTGTTAAAGCCGTGCTGTGAGTTCTTCATTTCAGACATTTTATTTTCAGTCCAGAATTCCCCTTTCCATGTATCTGCTGAGATTCTCTTTTGGATACTCATTAAGATTACATTTTTATTTAACTCCATGAATCATTCACAATGGCTGCTTTAACATCCCATCTGTGGCAACATCTGCATCATCTCAGGGTCTGGTTTCTATTGACACCTTTTCTCTTTATGGACAACTTGTTCCTGCTTCTTTTTTTTTTTTTTTCACTGTTTAAGGAATTTTTATTAAAGCAAAAATTTTATAATCCAAATTACGTTTCCTTGCTCAGTTATCAATTCTGTTACTTAAAACAGAACCGACATCCTGAGCTATTCCACAGTAAAGAATTACAAAATTAAAGAAAGGAATGCTTTAAATTTTTGTACTTTGCTGAAAATTCTTTTTCCCAGGGTCTATAAAACATTAATTTGTTTTTATATTTTACTATTTTTTTGTGTGTTTTTTTTTTGTTGTTTTTAAATCAAGTAATCTAGGACTAGCATTGTTTGCTAGACCTGGCATTTGCTCGGTACATAAGGTTCAAAGTTTCCTTTCCTTTTTTTATTTATTTTATGTTTTGCAATGTTTTTTTTTCATAATATTTAAGTTTTTCGATGTTTAGATATTTTTCTTCGGTGAAGCACGAGTTTCTTTTCGTGGTCCCTGATCGATTTAAACAGTTGGAACACCGGTGGCACTGTTAACTGCTTTCTGGGCAGCCTCTTTAGCTTGGTGGGCTTGTAGTACAGCTACAGCTTCATCAACCTTAGAACGGAGAGACTCTGGAGACTCGAGCATATGAAGTAGTTCTGAATTATCAATCTCCAACAACATGCCAGTGATTTTACCAGCAAGTGTAGGGTGCATGGCTTGAATAAGAGGAAACAGCCGTTCACCCAACATTTGCTTTTGCTCTTGAGGGGGGGCAGATGCCAACATGGAAGCAGTCAAAGGCTCTTGACCTTGTACATGAACAGCAGGCTGCTGCATGGTGACCTGTGGCTGTGCATTAAGGTGTTGCTGAGGATTGCGGACTCCCGCAGCGTGTTTATACTGTGGAACGGTGCGGACAGCAGGAGTAGCTGCGGCGGCAGCAGCTGCAGGACGTGGACCCATTGTCTGTGTTGATGTGTTAGCAACACGCTGTGTGGACATGACTCGTGGAACCTGTGAAGAAGCTGGTCTCATAGTACTAAGTGGTGGTCTAGGAGCGGCTGGGCGGATAGCACCGGGCATATTTTGGAATGGATGAGGTCTGGCACCCTGAGCAGTCCAGCGAGGACTTGGTCTTAGTTGAGCAATTTGGCTAGGAGGATAGTATGCAGCACGGTTCCGAGTCTGTGGGATAGCTGCCATGAAGTAACCTGAAGGAGGTGCTGGCTGGTAGGGGTTGATTACAGGGTTGGGCACAGCTCGTACACTCGCCATTCTCTGCATATACTGGTTAGTGAGGTGAGCCTGGCGCTCTTCTTTGCGCTGAGCTAAAGCTACATACAATGGCTTGGTGGCCACAATTCTACCATTCATTTCTGTAACTGCTTTAGTGGCTTCTTCTGGGGAGGAGAAACATACAAAACCGAACCCTTTGCTTCGACCACCTTCCATCATAACCTTTGCACTAGTGATTGTACCAAATGGAGAAAACTCTTTCCGGAGACGTTCATCATCAATACCATCATCAAGATTTTTCACATAAAGATTAACACCCTGGTATCTGGTGATCCTATCTTGTTTCATCTGTTCAAATTTGCGCTTAAGTTCCGTCTGCCGCTCCACCTTTTTCTGAGCTCGACCAACATATATTTGTTTTCCATTGAGCTCCTTTCCATTCATTTCATCCACAGCTTTCTGTGCATCTTCGTGCCTTTCAAAGCTTACAAATCCAAATCCTTTGGATTTTCCACTTTCATCAGTCATTACTTTCACACTTAAGGCAGGTCCAAACTTGCCAAAGAGATCCTTAAGGCGCTCATCATCCATGTCTTCTCCAAAATTCTTGATGTAAACATTGGTGATGAGATTCTTGACAGATCTCATAATTGAAGAAAAATTATGGAGCAGGAATTGCAAGTGATACATTGTAAGAAGTCTGGATTATGTTATGTTCCTTTATAGAGTGATGCATTTTGTTCTGGGAGGTAGGTAATTTAGTGGAGGCTTTTCTTGACCCTGTTTGAGGCTTTGTTAGGGTAAGTCTAAAGTAGTTTTTGTGGTAAGGGTGCCTGGCTAGCAAGCATGAGGCCCTGAGTTCAAACCCCAGTGCTGCCAAAAAAAAAAAATTAAAAATAAAGTAGTTTTTGCTTGAGGCATGATCCTTATTTCCAAAACTTAACTTGTGAATCAGTTGAATGCTAAGACATGCTGCAATAATGAGCTCTCTCCATTCCGGCTGGAACCATGACCCCCAGCACCACTACTGGTGGTGCTGCTCCACTGTTTCTACTCTTCGGAGTCCAGAATAGCCAGGCTTTTACAAAGTCTCAACATGTGCATGTGTTGCCCAGTTCTTGATCAAAAACCACAGGGAACCCTGTGTAATGGGTTGAGTTGTTTCCCTCTAGCGAGATGCATTGAAGTCTTAAGCTCTAATGCTTCCGAATGTGACCTTTACTTGGAAATAAGGTCTTTACAAAGGTGATTATGTTAAAATTAGGTCATTAGAATAGGCCTGATTCAATGTAACTGACTTCCTGATAAAAATGGGAAATTTGACAGAGACACCAGACATACCAGGGAGAATACATGAAGATTGTGTGACGTATCTATAAAGCAAAGAATGCCAAAGATCGCCAGCAAAGCACAGGAAGCTAGGAGAAAGGTATGGAACAGATTCTTTTCCACTGCCCTCAGAAGGAACCGGACCTACAAACAACTTGATTTCAACTTCTAGTCTTCAGAATGGTAAGACAATAAAATTTCCTTTGTTTGAGTCAAACTCAAACTCAGAGGGGATTCCACTATGGAACCTCCTCTTCCCTGGTAAGCCTGCCACTCAAGCTCCATTTTCTTCAACAACTTCACTGATCTCTGCTTTCTTTGCCAGCAGGTCAGCTGGACTCTGCTTGGGTTCCACCCTTCTGTTCTGCAGTGAAGAATTTGTCCCAGGCTGGGACCTGGCGCACATAGGACTGATATCCTTAGGGACTATGATGCCGCACTGTTTGTTGTCTAATGTCTGAGAACAGTGGTGCCGTTTGTTTTCTCCAGCTGTATAGTGGTTTTATAGTCCATTCTAGCATTTGTTACTCTGTCATGACCAGAGTGAAATTTCTGACGTAAGATCAGTTTGAATTAACTCATTTAGTTCGCTCAACAATTGTGTTAGTCAGATTTTCATCCTGGTGACAAAATAGCCGAAGTGATTAACTTACAAAGAGAAAGACTTATTTGGGCTCAAGATTTCAAGGGTTTCACTCCATGGTCAGTTGGCTCCATTGCTTTTGCAGCCGGGATAAGGCAGCACATTGAGGCAGGGTGTGTGTGGAGGAGCAAAGCTGCTTACCTCCTGGGGGCTGGGAAGCAAAGAATGATATTGGCAACCCAATTTTCCCTTCAAAGGCACCCCCCCAATGACCTAACTTCCTTCCATGAGGCCCTGCTTCCTAAAGGTTTCACCACCTCCCAATAGTGTCACAGGCTGGAGACCAAGCCTTCAACAAATGGCCTTTTGGGGATGATCAAGATCCAAACTATAGCATTACAACCCTAAAAGGTAGGTGGTTGTCCTAAGGTTTTTACAGATAGAAAAAAAGATGGGTACAAAAATGAAACTAACTTGTTCAAAGACAAGTATCTTATAAATAGTGAAGCCAAATTTTGAGGGTTTTTTTGTTGTTGGGACTGGGGTTTGAACTCTGGGGTTTGAACTCAGGGGTTTGCCCTTGCAAAGCAGTCACTCTACTGCTTGACCTGCACCTCCAGTCCATTTTACTCTGGTTATTTTGGAGATGGGTCTTGTGAACTATTTGCCTGGGCTAACCATGAACCATGATCCTCCTGATCTCAGCCTCCCAAGTAGTTAGGATTACAGGCATGAGCCACCTATGCCCAGCTGAAGCCAAATTTTAAATGTGGATAGTTTACTTCCAGACTCAGCATTCTGGTATATCAACCTGTTATCTTACATTAGTGGGTGCTTAATAACTGCATTTTGAATGAGTGAATAGGTAGCTGTATCTTCTGTGTGTGTGTGTGTATTTGTGTGTTACTGGGGATTGAACTCAGGGCCTTGCACTTGCTAAGCAAGCATTCTACCCCTCAAGCCTTGTCTGAGTTGACCTCAAACCACAATCCAGCTACTTCCACCTCCTGAGTAGCTGGGTTTACAGGTGTGTACCACCACACCCAGTCTCTCTCATCTACCTTTTTTGCCCATTTGCCTCCTGTTCTACCTGCCCAGGAAAACCCCAACTTTACATTAACATAAAATCTTCTCTTATCCAGCACCCAGATTCCTAGGCACCCTAGAGAAAATGACAGCTCTTGGCAGCGTGAGCTCCTGTGAAGTTACCTGGCCTTCAACAATGCCTCATACATTCATTCCTCCACTATCTGTGGAGATTGGTTCCAGGTCCCCACATCCCCAGGACACCAAACTTTTGTAGAAATGCCTTCCACAAAAAAATGGAGATTTGCATAAAACCTACGCAATCCTCTTGCATAAAGAATGAATGTAGAATTTTTAAACCTGTTGAAATCATCAGAAGAAGGGGACTACGATAGAAAGGAGAAAAATAGGAGGGATGAACCAATTCAGGTTATAATACACAGGGACATGGAAATGTCACAGTGAAACTCCCTGTGTAGTTATCTTAAACAAACTAAAATGCATTTTTTTTTCAAAAACGGAGAACAGGAAGGTAAAACAGGTCCTGTCTGGGTTTGGTACCAGTGGCAGGGAGGAGGGATATAAGGAAAGAGTATAGGAGGGTGAATATGGTGGAAATATTAGGTACTTATGTATGAAAATGGGAAAAATGAGACCTGTTGGAACTTCCAGGAATGGGGGAATGGGGACAAAGAAGAATGATGGAGGGGTGAATTCAACTATGACATTGTAAGAACTTTTATAAATATCACAGTGTACTCCCAGTACAACAATAAAAAAACTTTTAAAAGTCCTCTTGTATACTTTAAATCACCATAGGGTTTTATAGTTCCTAATACTATGTAAATGATATGTGAATAGCTATTATTTAGGGAATAATGACAAGTAAAAAAAATCTGTACATGTTCAGTATGACATATTTTTTTTCCCTGAAGGTTTCTGAAATTTATGGGTCTGAATACAGAAGGCTGACTATATTTCCTGATCTTTGCCCCTCATTTGCTATGGTTCTTGCCTCAAATCTGAAACACCCGCACCTCTCCACGCCTGTTTCCAGGAAAACACCTGTGAACAACTGTGAACTCTGTTTCTTATTCATTTCCATAAATTTGGCATGTTTTGCCCCCCTGTCCTTGCCTTTTCCTCTACTGTCAAAATGTTTAGTGTTTCTTTATCAAATGCTCATCCAATTTTAGCTACTACCCTGTGTCTTTCTTCCCATTCACAGCCAAGCTTTGGAAGTGTTGTTTACACTCTCCATCTGTCTGCACTTCCTCATTGGGTCTCACCTCCAGCTCACTCCCTCACCACAATGTGGCCTCTTTACTGTCTCTACTCTTTACTTCACTTTCATCTTGATTAATTCTGTCCTTTTGTTCTCTTTAAATAGGTTTGTTCTTTTTTTTTTAACATCTTGCTTTGGATGCCTAATTCATTTACTAATTCTTTTCTGCTTACTAAGTATTTAAGGTGATTTCTCCTTTCCTTTTATTTGTGTGTAGTAGATTCTCAGATGTAGAATGTTTTTCCCCCTGGATAATTCCTAATTTTTTGTTTTCCTCTTTGATCTAAGAGTATTTAAGTGAAAAATTTTAAATCTCTGGGTGGTAGAGTCTTTTGTTTACTGGCTTAGTGATTAATATTTATTTTTGTTTCACTTGGGTTAGAGAACATTTTGTGTTCTTTCTACTTTGGGGGAATTATTAGAATTTCTCTGTGTCTTTATGTACAGTCAAGTTTCAGTGAGTGTTTCACAGGTTACTTGAAAAAAGGTATATTTCCAGATTACAGAGTTCAATAGATAAATTTGTACTGTTGATTACGTTTTTTATTTCTTCCATATTGCCCTTGACTTAGGGCAACGTGAGTGGAAGAAACCTGTGCCCTTTCCTGGGTATGACTCAGGTCAGCCTCTCCTCTCAACATGGTGTCAGGGCAGAAGAGATGTTTTTAGATTGTTCACAGCCCAAAGCACCATGAGGAGAGGCGTGGGAGAATGATTTTTCTTGCTTCTCCATGGGTGTGTTAGTCTGCTAAGGCCACCAGAACAAATGGCCACAGCTTGAACAGCTTGAACAAGAGAAACTTGTTTTCTCAGAGGCTGGAAGTCCAAGATCAAGGTGCTGGCAGAGTGGGTTTCTCCTAAGCCTTCTGTCCTTGTCTGGTGGGTGGACACCTGTGGCTGTGTCCTCACATGGCCTTTTCTCTGTGGGTGTGCATCCTGGTGTCTCTCTTCTTGTAAGGATGCCAGTCCTGTTGAGTATGACCCCATCCTTAGGACCTCATTTGACCTCAGCACCTCTATAAAGGCTCTGTCTCCAAATGTTCACATTGGGGGTTTGGGCTTTAGCTTGTAAATGTAGATGGAGACACAGTTCAGGCCACAATAGTGGGGAATAGAAAAGGAGGCACAATGCCACTCTCCCGTCTGGCAAGATGACTGAGACTTACTGGGTGTCACCCATAGGAACGGGGACATGCGGGATAAATTTGGCTCAGTTGAGAATAAATGTTTCTTGCACTCATCCCACAAGATTTGCAGTGTCGGCTCACATCTCTCTGTGAGTTCTGGATCTGAATGGGGCTTAGATTAGGTTTTGTCAGCCTCAAGTGAGCATGCCCAGAACCAAACTCATCACTTCTCGTGCTCCTCACCCCTCAGCTGAACCTGTTCTTCCCGTGTTCCTGAGGCAGGAGAATAGAGAAGTTT